AGTGAAATATGAGCACATGAAGGGAGAAAATGGCCCTATAAAGTAAGCAGACTACCCCTGTTTTAGCAGAGTGTGTGTGAGGAAGCCAGTGCCTCCAAACTGATGATTTGGATTTGGGCTTATTGCTCGGTGGGACTAGCCCACGTGTGTCTTCATAGAGCTGCTGCTGCTGCTGCTGCTAAGCCGCTTCAGTCGTGTCTGACTCTGTGCGACCCCGTAGACGGCAGCCCACCAGGCTCCTCCGTCCCTGGGATTCTCCAGGCAAGAACACTGGAGTGGGTTGCCATTTCCCCTTCATAGAGCAGCCCTTCAAAAATCAATACCATCAGCTAAGTTTAGAGCATTGCTTCAGCCAGGTTCAACCACACTTACTCTTATGAACTCATGGATCATTATTCTATAGTGTTTCTGGTCAATCCATTTTTTTTACATTTATGTTGGCTGCAGTTAATAGCAGCTGGTTTTACAATGCATGGTATGCACTTAGGAGATGCTTGTTGAATAAATGGATATGTGAGTGAGTGAATGAATGAATAAAGGAATGGATGGATGGATAGACAGGACCAGATTCTATTTTATAACACAGATGGATACTTCTGCCTGTAAATAACCTTGTCTTCTGGATATAGACATAAGCTATACATTTAACTTGTCATGTTAAATTGAATGGTTGAATTTTGAGCAAATATTGATTATTTTTAAATATAGCCGTGTTCCATCTATGTAAGAGAAATTAGGGGAAGTGTTTAGTTCTGTACCTTTAGAGCAGTTCTCTAGCTCTTACTAAAATTACTTTACTTCATCTTAAGCAAAATCACCAGTTAAGAAGTACTTAAGTCTAATCTTAGAGGGAAAAAGTTATTTCCCTTTTAGCTGGTATATTTATGTCTACAGTATCCATAGTGATTTCATTGTCTTGGTAAAAATCTTCAACTTCAAATGTTAACTACATAGTTATTCCCTTTGTTGGACTTAAACTTGTTTGCAGTGGTAATTTGTTTTCTTAGCTCTTCTGTATCTCAGACCGGCTGTGGCATTTACTGTTGGCATAGTAGATGTGGGTCAGAGTCCCTGGGTTTTCTTTAACCTTTTGTCCACAGTTTGGAATGACTTTTGTACTATTGTAAATGCAGTAGATTGATCCTAGCAGGTGGCTATGAAGCTTTTGTAAATATTGATATGTTTTTTAAGCTTCCCTATAATCATATATAAATATGAAGTAACAGTTTTGGAAAATATGACCTGATATGTATTTTCAATTTCATAGAAAATGTCAGTTGGGGACATTTTACTTACTCTTTGTCATCTTTCACTTGATATACAAAATCTTTAAATATGAGGCAAAAAAACACATTTATAGATCTATACAATGTCAAAACATCAATAAAGAATAGTCACCTCTCTAGTAGGAAATTAAATAACACTTACCTTAAGTGCCCATCAATTTAAATCCATTTTTCTTTTATTGTTAACTATTATAGTTAATTTAATAAAAAAATAATTTCACTTGAACTATGATTCCAGAGGTGTTACTTTATAATTTACCATGTCATTATTTTTCCATTAACTAATTATTTATGCTATCCTAAGAGCAGCATATAGCCCTACTCAATATTTATTCAATACAAGGATAGTGAAATGGAGTATTTTTTATTGTTTATAAAGTGCCAAAATTTTTTAAGATTATTTCCTCATAAAACAAGTGTGTGATTTTTTTAAAACTGGAGGAGGGGCAGTAATTGCTTAAGACAAATAAGTTACAGAAATTTTATGTCTTTAGTAACAAAAATTTTTATTTATATATTCCTTTCTGAGTAATTGCATGTTAATGATAATAATTTTCAAATACAATGAAAGTATATGCTACAAGTATTGTACTGAATATGTATTCAATCATATTCTGAGAAGGTTTTTCTTCTTATACTTTTAAAGAGTTCATCAGTTATTCTTTTAAAATGGCCTCATACAAGGATATACAATGGAAAAAAGATAACCTCTTTAACAAGTGGTGCTGGGAAAACTAGTCAACCACTTGTAAAAGAATGAAACTAGAACACTTTCTAACACCATACACAAAAATAAACTCAAAATGGATTAAAGATCTAAATGTAAGATCAGAAACTATAAAACTCCTAGAGGAGAACATAGGCAAAACACTCTCCGACATAAATCACAGGAGGATCCTCTATGACCCACCTCCCAGAATATTGGAAATAAAAGCAAAAATAAACAAATTAGACCTAATGAAACTTAAAAGCTTTTGCACAACAAAGGAAACAATAAGCAAGGTGAAAAGACAGCCCTCAGATTGGGAGAAAATAATAGAAAACGAAGCAACAGACAAAGGATTAATCTCAAAAATATACAAGCAGCTCCTGCAGCTCAATTCCAGAAAAATAAATGACCCAATCAAAAAATGGGCCAAAGAACTAAACAGACATTTCTCCAAGGAAGACATACAGATGGCTAACAAACACATGAAAAGATGCTCAACATCACTCATTATCAGAGAAATGCAAATCAAACCCACAACGAGGTACCATTACACACCAGTCAGGATGGCTGCTATCCAAAAGTCTACAAGCAATAAATGCTGGAGAGGGTGTGGAGAAAAGAGAACCCTCTTACATTGTTGGTGGGAATGCAAACTAGTACAGCCACTATGGAGAACAGTGTGGAGATTCCTTAAAAAACTGGAAATGGAACTGCCATATGACCCAGCAATCCCACTGCTGGGCATGCACACTGAGGAAACCAGATCTGAAAGAGACATGTGCACCACAATGTTCATCGCAGCACTGTTTATAATAGCCAGGACATGGAAGCAACCTAGATGCCCATCAGCAGACGAATGGATAAGGAAGCTGTGGTACATATACACCATGGAATATTACTCAGCCATTAAAAAGAATTCATTTGAATCAGTTCTAATGAGATGGATGAAACTAGAGCCCATTATATAGGGTGAAGTAAGCCAGAAAGATAAAGACCAATACAGTATACTAACGCATATATATGGAATTTTAAAAGATGGTAATGATAACCCAATATGCAAAACAGAAAAAGAGACACAGATGTACAGAACAGACTTTTGAACTCTGTGGGAGAAGGCGAGGGTGGGATGTTCTGGGAGAATAGCGTTGAAACATGTATATTATCTAGGGTGAAACAGATCACCAGCCCAGGTTGGATGCATGAGACAAGTGCTCAGAGCTGGTGCACTGGGAAGACCCAGAGGGATGGGATGGGGAGGGAGGCGGGAGGGGGGATTGGGATGGGGAACACATGTAAATCCATGGCTGATTCATGTCAATGTATGGCAAAAACCACTACAATACTGTAAAGTAATTAGCCTCCAACTAATAAAGATAAATGAAAATTTAAAAAATTTTTTTAAATTAAAATATTTTTAAAAAATAAAAAAATTAAATGGCCTCATAATGATTTTTTAATAGCTCTATTCTTGTTGTTATTCCATAGTTTAATATAAATAAAAGTTTGTGATAACATGGATAGACCTAAAGGATATTATGCTAAGTGAAATAAGTCAAACAGAGAAAGACAGATGCTATATATAATTTCACTTATATGTGAAATCTAAAAACTAAAACAAATGAACAAACATAGCAAAATGGAAACAGAGCTCTAAATACAGAGAGCATAAAAGGGGTTGCCAGAGGAGAGAAAAGTGGATGGATAGGGAAGAAATAAGTGAGGAAGATTAAGAGGTACAAACTTTCACCTGCAAAATAAATGAGTCATGATAATGAAATGCACAATGTGAGGAATATAGTCACTAACTATGTAATATTTTTGTACAGTGACATATTGCAACTAGACTTATTATGGTGATTATTTTGAAATATATAGAAATATCTAATCACTGTGCTGTAAATAGGAACTAGCCTAGTAGTATAGGTCAATTATACTTCAAAAACAAGCAAACTCAATCGTAGAAGAAGAGATCAAGCTTGTGATTACCAAGAGTTGAGGGATGAGGAGAAGGGGTAGTTAGATGAAGGACAGAGGTACAAATTTTCACTTATAAGATAAATAATACTAGGGATGTAATATGTAACATAATATAATTAACACTGCTGTATGTTAGATATGAAAGTTAAGAGAGGAAATCCTAAGAATTCTCATCACAAGGAAAAATATGCTTCTGTTTCTTTCATTTGGTATCTATATATGATGGATGTTCACTGAACTTACTGTGATAATCATTTCATGATGTATATAAATGAGATCATCATGCTATGTACCTTAGTTTTGTATAATACTATGTCAATTATATATCAATAAAACTGGAAGAAATTTATATGCCATAGCAGTGTAAAATTCTTCTCTCAAAATGGATAATTTCCATGTTTAAAAATGATTTGATATTTCATGGTTTGCTATAAAACTAACACAGTCAAAGTATATAATCTCTTTATTCTTTAGACTGTGTGCAGGGATAATTCATTTGTGTTCATTCTTTTTTTAACTACAAGTTAATAACAGGAAGTGCCAGGAAGCCTGCAAATATGACAAGGTGCCCAGAGAAGGAGACACGAAGGGCAAGCAAGGAACAAACCCTTATCTTCTCTCTGAAATTATTGCACCGATATCCAATGTATCTTCCTCATGGCTCTTATCTCAGAGTTTGTCAAATGTTCAAATGGCTGAACTTTTCATTTTGAAATGTCAAAAATATCTAGGTCTCTACCCACATGATTGGCAGTACTTCTGTTTGCTATGCTGGAGTAACGACCCCATCAACAAAGATGAGCCCATAGACTAAACGCGGTCAGGACTACACGTGTGTTCTGCTTTATTGGCATTAATCAGCAAACTTTCAAATATTTAAAGAGCAAAGTTGATTAGAGTAGAATTTATTGTTATTTATTACTGTTGTAACAAATGAAAGATTAAATTTTTTTTGACTGTTGAAGCGTGACTAATAGCACTTTCTTAAACTAATACAAGGCTTTGGTTTTTCTGTTCCTTTTCTGCAGGTTTAGGCTTCAGTATTGCAGGAGGTGTGGGAAATCAGCACATTCCTGGAGACAATAGCATTTATGTCACTAAAATTATCGACGGAGGAGCTGCTCAGAAAGATGGAAGGTTGCAAGTAGGAGACAGACTACTAATGGTGAGTGTGACTCAAGCTATGTGTATGTTTATAAAGCTGTTTTCCAGTGTTTGACTGTCATAGTCATTTTCGGCTGCCGTTACAAGATGCCATAGTCTAGGTGACTTAACACAAATTTTATTTTCTCACAGTTTTGGAAGCAGGGAAATTTAAGAGCAAAGTTCTGGCCCCATTCAGTTTCTGGTGAGATCTCTCTTCTTGGCTTGCAGACAAGTGTCTTCCTGCTGCTTCCTCCCGTGGCCTTTTCTCTGTGCTTGTCCTGAGAGGTCTTTCTCTTCTCATAAGGTCATGTGTCCTGTTAGATTAGAGCTCCACCCTCAAGTTATTTCATCAATAACCTTGCGCTATGCTTAGTCGCTCAGTTGTGTCCGACCTTTTGTGACCCTATGGACTGTATCCCACCAGGCTCCTCTGTCCATGGAATTTCCCAGGCAAGATTACTGGAGTGTGTTGCCATTCCCTTCTCCAGCGGATCTTCCTAACCCAGGGATTGAACCCAGGTCTCCTTCATTGCGGGTGGATTCTTTCCCATCTGGGCCATCAGGGAAGCCCAGTTAATCACCTCCTAAAAACCCTACTTCCAAATATAGTCAGGCTTGGGGTTAGAACTTCAACATAAGAATTTGGGAGGAGAAAGCACAATTCAGTCCATAGCAGTCACCTAGGTAAAAATAGAAAAGAAGAGAGAGCAGATTTCATTGTAACAGATATCAGAAGTACAGATATAATTGGATCTGATTTGCTGATGTTTTTAAAAGCAGAAATCTAAGTTTTCACCAGTTTCCATAGGCACAGAGACTATATGTTGTTCTTCCAATATAATCCAGCTCCTATCAGCCAGAGAGACTACTTAATCCAGACTGGTAGAGAGGTGGGCTTTGCCTAGCGAAGGGAGTAGCACCATCTGCTTTATTGATACGCACATTTCTATGCCACCCTGTGTTCCTTTGTTCAACCAGCATAGACACAGTCCTTGACTTCCAAGGATTCATAATTTGAGTTCTGTCACGTGTATAAATGGATCTTTCCTTTTGTTCTTTCAGACAGATTTTCTACTATTTTATTTGCCAGCTGCTTGCATGCTTTAGGAGTCTTAGACAGTGGCTGATACCGACGTTGAAACCACCGTTTCTGAGCCGTGGAGTTATATGATAAACTCCTGGGCTTCCCAGGGGGTGCTAGTGGTAAGGAACCTGCCTGCCAATGCAGGAGACATGGGTTTGATCTCTGGGTCAGGAAGATACCCTGGAGGAAAAAAAAAAATGGAAACCCACTCCAGTATTCTTTCCTGGAATATCCCATGGACAGAGGAGCCTGGCAGGCTCTATACAGCCCATAGGGTCACAAAGAGTCAGACACAACTGAAGCAACTTAGCACACACACATGCAGGCAAAACAAAATATAGGCAACTATAAGCAGTATACTGGGGGATCACATGTAATAAAAGTATTTCATCTCCATTTGCTGTTTTATATCAAGTCTACAGGATAATAATATACTGAAAATCAATGGAAAATAACTCTCAAGAAGGATATCTAGTCATGTGTCTGCCCTTTTAAACCAGGGTCTTAAGTCTTTATCACAAGGAGCCAGTGTCTCCAATACTTTCATGAGAAGTGTTTATGAAGGATCAACCTATACCATTTTAACAGAATTTATGAAGGATCAACCTATACCGTTTTCAACGGAATAGTAATTTCTAAGACATGTGCAAGCTTTGGAGGTTGAACTTCAAAGTTCATTGTGCCCACATCCCTGGACTCTAGACAGGTTGTTTGTAGTCCCACTGGCTTAATTTCAAAGGTGTCAATGATTTTTGTATTGAATTATCTGGATAAGAGTGTAATACTAATCTTGATAACTAGCATTTATTTGGTATTTACTATGTTCTGTGTTTTTTTAAAGTGCTTTTCTGTAATGTAGCATGTATTTTTCACAACAGCCTCTTTTATACACAGAGGGAAACTGAGGTATAGAGAGGCTTACTAGCTTGGCCATGGTCATAGAGTTAGCAATGGATAGAATGGGATTTCAAATGCTTGTAACCACCAAACATGGTCTTTGCATGTATTTCCTAGAATTTGTTAGTCAGTTATTTCCTTTCTACCTTTGATCTCCTTGCAGTCCAAGAGACTCTCAAGGAAGTCTTGAGAAAGGAAGACTTCCTTCCTAGAGTCTTCTCCAGTATCACAATTCTTTCCTTCCTTCATCATTCATTCATTCCTTTCTTTATCTAAAAAGTAATAGACTGAGCACCTGTCATGTCTCAGGCAATAGCCACTAATTTGGAAGGAACTCTGTCAGCAGAAACAGTATGGTCAAACTGGGCAAAAAAATGTGGCGTTAATGACTTTAGTCAAAGTCACAACTAAGAGTTTTTGGTTTCTTTACCACTTCAAGTCACTGCAATTTTGTTTTCTTTTTTAAAATCAATTTAGAGGTATGATTGACATGTAAAAAGCTGTACATATTTAATGTATAAAACTCCATGGCTTTGAAGATAAGTGCATACTAGTGAAACTATCACCACCTTCAAGGCTATAAAATTATCCATCACTTCCCACAGTTTTTTCCTCTTACTATTATTATTTTGTGTGTGTAAATAGTAAGAACACATAACACAAGATCTACCTTCTTTGCAAATTTTAAGTTTAAGACAGGGAAGCCTGGTATGCTGCAGTCTGTGAGATTGCAGGGAGTCAGGCCTGACTTAGCAAATGAACAACAACAAAAAGAGACTGTTATTTATAGGCCATGGGGTGTATAGTAGAACTACCATTTTCATTCTTGAGATATTCTGAAATTTGTTTGCTTGTTTTTTATTACCTTCAATGTGAAAGTTGGTACCTACGATGTTTTGCTTCTGAAACAGAAAGGTATTTGGATATAAGGCAACTCCCTCTAGCAGCTTCTCTCAAGAAGACAAATTTTATTGTTTCTTGACTTAGAAATGGAATGAACTGTACTCTTCATAGTCTACATAGTACTAGATTGAAAAATAAGAGAGCAATGTGTCATGTTGTTGTTTGGTCACAAAGTCTTGTCCACCTCTTGCAGCCCTGTGGGCTGCAGCCTGCCAGGCTCCACTGTTTTTCACTCTCTCCCAGAGTTTGTTCAAATTCATGTCCAGCTGAGTCACTGATGCTAACTGACCATCACTTCCTCTGTGCACTCTTCTCTCTTTGCCTTCAATCTTTCCCAGCATCAGGGTCTTTTCCAGTGTCTTGGCTCTTCACATCAGGTGGCCAAAATATTGAAGCTTCAGCTTCAGCATCAGTCCTTCCAATGAATTTTCATGGTTGATTTCCTTTAATCAACTGGTTTAATCTCCTTGCAGTCCAATGGACATTCAAGTGTCTACTCCAGCACCACAATTCAAAAGCATCCATTCTTTGGCACTCAACCTTCTTTATGGTCCAAATCTCACATCTGTGCATGACTACTGGAAAAACCATAGCTTTGACTATATGGGCTTTTGTTGGCACAGTGAAGCCTCTGCTTTTTAATGCACTGTCTAGGTTTGTCATAGCTTTCTTTCCAAAGAAGAAAGTGTCTTTTTAATTTCATGGCTACAGTCACTGTCAGCAGTGATTTTGGAGACCCCAAAATAAAACCTGTCACTGTTTCCACTTTTTCCCCTTCTATTTGCCATGAAGTGATGGGACCAGATGTCATGATCTTAGTTTTTGAATATTGAGTTTTAAGCCAGATTTTTCACTCTCCTTTTTCATCCTCATCAAGAGGCTCTTTAGTTCCTCTTCACTTTCTCTCATTAGAGTGGTATCATCTGCGTATCTAAAGTTTTTGATATTTATCCCAGAAATCTTGATTCCAGCTTGTGATTCATCCAGCCTGGCATTTCACATGATGTTCAGCCTTTTCATACTCCTTTCCCAATTTGGAACCAGTCCATTGCTCCATGTCCAATTCTAACTGTTGCTTCTTAACCTGCATACAGATTTCTCAGGAGGCAGGTAAGATGGTCTTATATTTCCATGTCTTTAAGAATTTTCCACAGCTTGTTGTGATCCACACAAAGGCTTTAGCATAGTCAATGAAGCAAAAGTAGATGCTTTTCTGGAATTTCTTTTCTTTCTTTATGATCCAGTGAATGTTGGCAATTTGACCTCTGGTTCCTCTGCCTTTTCTAAACCCAGCTTGTACTTCTGGAAGTTCTCAGTTCACGTACTGTTGAAGCCTGGCTTGAAGGACTTTGAACATTACTTTGCTAGCATGTGAAATGAGTGCAATTGTGTGGTGGTTTGAACATTCTTTGGCATTGCCTTTCTTTGGGATTGGAATGAAAACTGACCTTTTCCAGTCCTGTGACCACTGCTGAGTTTTCCAAATTTGCTGATATATTGAGTGCAACACTGTAACAGCATCATCTTTCAGGGTTTGAATTAGCTCAGCTGGAATTCCATCACCTCCACTAGCTTTGTTCATAGTAATGCTTCCTATGGCCCACTTGACTTTGCATGCCAAGAGGTCTGGCTCTTGGTGAGTGACCACACCATTATGGTTATCTGGATCATGAAGACCGTTTTTGTATAATTCTCTGTATTTTCTTGCCACCTCTTAATCTCTTTGCTTCTATTAGGTCCCTGCTGTTTCTGTCTTTAAATGTGCACATCCTTCCATGAAATGTTCCCTTGATCTCTCCAATTTTCTTGAAAAGATCTCTATTCTTTCCCATTCTATTGTTTTCTTCTGCTTCTTTGAATCATTCATTTAAGAAGGCCTTGTTACTTCTCCTTGCTCTTCTCTGGAACTCTGCATTCAGTTGGGTATATCGTTCCCTTTCTCCTTTGCTTTTCACTTCTCTTCTTTTCTCAGCTATTTGTAAGGCCTCCTCAGACAACCATTTTGCCTTTTTGCATTTCTTTTTCTTGGGGATGGTCTTGATCAATGCCTCCTGACATGAACCTCCATCCATAGTTCTTCAGGCACTCTGTCTATCAGATCTAATCTCTTGAATCTATTTGTTACTTCAGTGTAT